GCAGGAACAGGAGCATCTGCCACAGGGGCCCTACGGCTCTACTAAGCGTCTCTCCTTTTGCCATCCACATGTCCAAAGCTACGCTGCAGGCCAATGGCGGGTATGGGCTAGCACTGCCTCCTGGCCTGTGTTGCCATCACACCCCAGGAATTTAAAAACAATACCGATCCGGATGTCTCCCGTGTGTAAGACAACAGGCCGGTGGTTCTTAACATTCCTAAGGTCACAGTCCCCTCTGAAAAGCTGATAAAAAAAAACAAAGCCTCTTTTCTCAGACCAATGGACTTTTGCACAAAACTGACCACACGTATAGTGCCACGGAATTCCCCCCCCCACCACTCCTGAATCACCATTCACCTCTCCTCTGGCATTCCCTGCCCCTGACTAGCCCCAGGAGGCCTCTCTCTTGCATTGGAGTACAGCAGCAACAGCATCTGGACCGGCCAGGGACTGCTCCTGTGTGATCAAGAGCTGGCAGGCTGATTCGTCGGGGCCTCAGTGGGCAACACCTCTCAAGGTGCAGATGAAGAGCAGGACAAGCTCCCAGATATTTCATCTCTTAATCTCAACCTCGCAACAGACCCGCCCTGCAGGGAAAGGAGAACAACTTTCTGGGTGAAGTTGCACAAGCTGAGAGGCGAGTGCCCTTCCCAACAAAGCCCGCCCCTCCCGCTGCCGGGCGTGACTCCGATGCCCTGTAGGCCATAACCATGCCCTATGCACGCACCGTCCTCCCATGCCCGGGGTTTTCTCAAAACCAGCAGAAAAGGACCCAAATCGCAAAAGTGATGAGGGAGCTGCTAAGAAGGTTGCTGATCTGTGCTAAGTGGGACGGCGTTCTTGTCATCTATCTTGGACTTCCGATTTGGCGATGAAAGCAAGCATGTAACTTTCAGGAGCCCCAGTCTTCTGTTTGTACTGGAACTGCAGGAAGTACAAATTTCAAGGAGCATCCCACCTTCTTCAGATACAAAGATGTGTGTCTGATGAACAACAAAAACTCAGATCAATGTGAACGCTGACCACTGACATGATGTCATCTCAACGAGGGCACAAAACGAGGTGTCTGCCTTCTGAATTGCTAGGTCGCTGTCGCTGAACAGGCTTGGTGAGGTCACTAGAAGAACAAACATTCCCGGGGAGCCTCCTCAGTGCCTGGCACTGGGCTCAGCCTTAGAGAGACAGGTGAACAGGGCGAGGTCCTGCACAGTGAGCTTATCTCCAGCAGGGGGACGACGTGGGCGCAGGTGATTAACTGAAATTACAACGTGATAATGGCTCACTGGACTTCTGGCCCAAGTGCCAAAGGCCAGGGAACAGGAAGCAAGTAATGTGGAAGGGGGAGGGAAAGCCTGGGTGTTCGAGGAGGAAGAGGGTGTAATCTCAGCGTTCAGAAGGGGCTACGTCAAGGGCAGAGGGCAAAGTGCAAGAAGAGGCCCAGGCTGGCTGCCGGCAGGACAGGATGGTCAGCTGCTGCGCAAGAGCAGGTGCAGGATATGAGCCAGGGAAGAAAGTCAGTGGTCAGCTCGTGGAGCTTTTGTGAAGTCACTGTGAGACTCTGTTTGTAGAGAAAGACCTCGGTCATGTTAGCCTGGCAGGAAAGTCGCTATGGCCGCAATACAAGTGGTAGAACCTATGAGAGCATCTGGAAGCAAGAGAGGGGGTAGAAATTGCTGTGATTGTCTAAGTCAAGGATCAGAGGGTAGATCTCAGGTCTAGATGGCCTTCACAAGTGAACATTCATACTGAAAACCAGCAAGTCTGGTGACTTGTCGGATGCTGACAGGCCAGGCTGAGAGCAGGTAAAGAAAAGCCCCTGAGGTTTTCAGGTTCAGCACTTAGGAGGTTCCAGAACAAAGGGATGAGGGAGGAAAAGCTGGCTTGGGGGTGAGCAGACAGATTGAGAAGGAGTTGCATTTTGGATAAGTTGGTTTTGAGGTGGCCAAAGGAAGGTAAATAAATCCTCTCAGATAATAGCATAGAGTTTGAATTTAAAAAAAAGAACTAAGGAGAGAAACTCTGGAACTTGAAGTCCACAGGAAGAACTCACAAAGCAGAATTGAGTTGGAACAGCTGAATGCTAGTTGTGGACAGGATCTTCAAAGAAGAGCAGTCAAATAGCAAAAGTCACAGAGAGGCGAAGGAAAGGACCCCCAAAAGTCCCTGATCAGGCGGTTAAAATTCCTTACTTTTCAACTTCAGCAGAACCTCATGGGGTTGTGAGTGGAGGCAGAAAATATATACAATTCTTTAAAATTTTGACCAAGGGCAGAAGGGGAGGTCACCCCTGTAATGACAGAGTTTTTAGTTCTCTGCAGGGTGGGATTTAGTACCCAACCGGTCACGTGACACCACCAAGCCCACCACTCACCATGTAAGTGGCCAAAGAGAACAGGGGATGTAAACATTAAAGCTAACATTTTCAGTAGTCTGAGGACCCCACACACAGCTTCCCATAGTGATCAGACCAGTTTGCATTCCCACCAGCAGTGCAGGAGAGTTCCTTTTTCACCACATCCTCGCCAACATTTGCTGTTGCTAGTTTTGTTTTTTTTTTTAGTTTGTGCCATTCTCACAGGGGGTAAGGTGGTATCTCAATGAGGTTTTGATTTACATTTCCTTGATTATAAGTGATATTGAACATTTTTTTCCTATACCTGTTGGCCAATTGCATTTTATCTTTGGAGAACTATCTTTTAAGACCTTCTGCATATTTTTTGATTAGACTGTTTCCTTTGTTTTTGTTGAGTCATGTGATTTCTTTGTAGTTCTTTGTGATCAGTCCCTTCTCAGATGTAGTTTGTGCAAAAAATTTCTCCCAATCAGTAGGGTGTCTCTTTGTTTTGGTTAATGTCTTTGGTTAAGTTTGGTTAATGTACAGCTTTTTAGTTTCATGTGGTCCCGCTGTTCATCTTTTCCTTTCCTTTCTTTGCTTTGGGGGATATGTTGGTAGTGAGCATTTTACAGGAATTTCAATTACGAGGGGAAAGCATATATTGTACAAAATGAAAAATGATTTAAAATATATATAAATAACAATACAAAACATTAAGGCTAACATCTGGGAGTGGATGACATTGATGTTTATTTGTTAGTATTGTCAAGAATTTGTAATTAAGGACATAAATGGTTTTTGAAGAAGTGTGTAAAGGCTTGCTCAACATTACAGCAAAAAGTTAAGGCTGAAACAGCCAAAAAGAAGAGAAGACCTGTCTGCTAAGAAACTACAAAAGCAAGAGTTAAGGTGGCAAAGATTCTGTTGTTGATTTTGATAATCCCTAGTGAAGGTTCCGGGAAGCATGCAGCCCAAACACTCCTGCTGCGGATTTCCCTTGGCACAAACTTATCAGCAAGTAACAACTGAAAAAACTTCAGCCCGGCCCTCCCTGGTGGCGCAGCGGGTTAAAGCACAGCACTGAGAAGCTAAAGCCACTTCCGCATGAGTTCGATTCCCGCCTGCCCCGGAGGTGACCACATGGCGTGGCAGACCTCTCCTGACCTGCCCGCTGCTCCCCTCAGCAGTGTACTTCGCCGATCTGCCTGTTCTGCTCCCCACTCTGTCTCTGGTGAAGCCTCTCGCCGCCCCTGAGCCTCTGGCCTGTACCCCAGTTCTGTATGAACAAATACATAAATCTTTAAAAAAAAAAAAAAAAAAAAAACTTCAGCCCAGCCATTCCATTCACAGGAGTTTATCCTTGAGAGTTCACAATGGATATCTACAAAGACTTCTTTATGTGATGCTCACCATAACTCTGCTAACCAGTGTGAAAAACTGGACACACGAACTCCCAGTAACAGGACTGCGCTAGTGGGGGCCCTCCCTCGTGATGCAAAATGTTAAAGCACAGCACTAAGAAGCGAGCCACAGAAACTTCAGCATGAGTTTGATCCCAGGCCAGGGAGGTGACCCACAAGACGCAGCAGACCTCTCCTGACTCGCCCGCTGCTCCCCTCAGCAGTGTATTTCATCCATCTGCCTGTTGTGCTCCCAACTCTGTCTCTGGTAAATCCTCTCACTACCCCTGCACCTCTGGCCTGTATCCCTTTCTGTATGTATAAATAAATAAATCTTTAAGAAAAGATAGGAATAGGTTACTGAACACACCAGCATACATCGCTATACATGTAAGACTGTGCAACCATTTAAAATATTTGGAAGGTGACAATTTAACAACACAGAAAAAAATGTTCACAATATTACTGACATTTTTTAAATAGTTTATAAAAATAATGAGCATAATATGTATATGCATATATAAAAATGAGCATATGTGTATACACACGCACTCAGACAGAAAGACAGAAGACTAGAAGAATGTACACATTCAGATTAAAGACCGGACAATATACACCAAAGTAGGATCAGTAATGTAATTTCTGGGTGGTATAATTATGAGTCATATAAATTTACTTTTTGTTAAATATTTATAACAAACATGAAATAGCTTTTATAATTAAAACAGTCATTTTCAATACAATAGTTTACCATGACAAAAATAGCTTACTATAACAAGTCTTTTTAAGTATAAAAGTAATAGAATCTGACCATTCAAAAACTCTGAAGTATTAAAGCTTATTATGAAGAAATTAAATGTTCCATTTCCTAATTCCTTAGAATTAGGACTTAGAACTCCCCAGAGGAAATCACAAATACCTTTGTTATATCATTATAGACATTTGCAATCTAAGTAAGTGTATACTTTTAAAAGTAATTAAAAGTTGTTGTTTTTTTTTAATTTAGCTAAAGTAGAAGACTAGATCAGGAGTTAGCAGACTTTAAGGTCCAGATAGTGAATATTTCAGCTTTGTGAACAGTCTCTGTTGCATTATTCCATCGCTGTAGTGTGAAAATGGCCATAAGTAGCTTGAACATGCTATCTTTTTAAAAAAAAAATTATTTTCAAAAACAGGCAACAGGACAGATTTGCCTCGAGGATCAGTTTTCATATCCCTGCTCTTAGGTGAACAAATAAAAAAGAAATTTAAATTCCTACCTGCTGAGGATGCTGGCCAAAGAACAGTTTATTAGTTCCTGTTTCATGCTAACATCAGCTTCAGTTCAAATGTCCTTAGGTTGCCACCAAAATCTTCCTTCTGTTCAATGTAATCATGAGACCCTTTTACACACTAAGGTTGCCACCTTCAACCTAGATTCCGCATAGCAAGTTCCACCACACCCACCACTCACACCCCGGCAACCTCCTGAGCCCCTCACCGTAGAATCACGCACTGTTCACCTACTGTGTGCAGGGCACTGTGTTATTTATTGCAATGGGGTTACTGTGATCAGGACCCACATCTTGTTTACCTTTGCAATTCCAGTGCCTGGCAGAGCTTAGCACATACTGGTCACTGATTTAGAGGTGAATGAATGGATGAGCTATAAGCAAAGTCAGGATCCTACCTCGGGCACTGTAATTTAGGAGAGAAAAAGTTTCTGGTCCAAGGTAGGTGCTTAATTAGCATCTCTGTGTAACAATCTCTGTGCAACTGCTAATGCCACCATTAGCGGGCTTTAGCCAAATGTTCCTCATAGACTGGCAAGAATTTGAATCACTTGGGTTTTATGTTAAAATGCAGATTTGGATTTTTTTTCCTGTCCATTTCAAAGATTTATTTATTTATTCATACAGAACTGGGGTACAGGCCAGAGATGTGGAGGGTGAGAGGATTCACCAGAGACAGAGTGGAGTACAGAACAGGCAGATCGACAAGTACACTGCTGAGGGGAGCAGCGGGTGGGTCAGGAGAAGTCTGCCGCACCATGTGTTCACCTCCGGGGCAGGCAGGAATCGAACTCATGCTGAAGTGGCTTAAGCTTCTTAGTGCAGTGCTTTAACCCGCTGTGCCACCAGGGAGGGCCCTCTCCTTTTATTTTTTAAATATATGCATTACATTGTCCTTCATTTTTGTACAATGTATGGTTTCCCTGTGAAATTCCCCTCCCCCCCATCACCATAGTCCCTTGTGCTCTTCCCACTCCATCCAGGTCTTTCTCCCTCCTCCTCCCATACAGAATGTCTTCAATCTATAGTTGCCTGATGATTTTGATTTTTACTTTTTTTTTTCTGATTCCTTTTTTGTTTTCTCTATTAAAATGTGGATTTTGAGTCAGAAGGTCTGGGGTAAAACCCAAGACTATAATTATAACAAGTTCCCAGGAGATGACAATCCTATTAATCCAAGTATCAAGGTTATGGAAGGGGCAAAGCACAGACAATGAAAGGCAAAGCCTAAGCACCATGGCCTAAGCTCCTTGCGCAGCACAGTCATGCTGGGGGACAGAGCCAACGCCTAGGTGGGCCACACAGGGTGTAACAGGTGGTCCCCAGGAAAAGGGGAAGTGCCAGGTTCCCTGCCCCACACAGGAGGAGGGTGGAGCTGAGCAGAGAAAAGGAGAGAAGGGATCTGAGGAAGAATGGAAGCAGAATGGAGAGCCAGAAGGAGCCCTGAGGAAGCCACAAGAAGCAGCAAGCATGTGATTGGCCCTGGACTGGCTGAAAGCGAGGTGGTGAGAGACCCGGAGGGAGGTTGACTATGGCAGTGTTTATATTGATTTTGATTGTGCTCTTGTCCTCCCAGACTTGTCTGGCCATTTCTGACCCTTCCCTATGGGTCCCGGCCAGAAGATGCTTAGTCTTGTGGCAGGCTTTCAGGCCTTGCTTTGGGCCAATCCCTTTTGGGTGGACTTTTGCTCACGAGGGGATGGGTAACTTCAGGTGTTTGATTTAGAAGTTATATTCTTTGTCTTTCGTATTGTATACTCACTGTATTAAAATTCCATTTCACTAAAGTCTTATTTATATGTTTTGTCTTGAAGTGGTGGATGGCAGACCTATTCAGAGCAGGCAGGTTTGGGGGTTCAGTGGTGCCCCTCTCTCCCTGTCCTGTAATAGGGGACTCACCTGTAGTCCTCCTGGTTGAGGATTCACAGACCTAGAAACTCAGCTCTGTTCACCTTCAGGCATAGCAATAATGTCCTGATCACAAAGTATGCTGGGTTTCTACTAAGAAATAAAAAGTCAGACTGAGAGCCCTCTCTGGTGGTACAGTGGGTTAAAGTGCAGCACTATGAAGCCATCGAAGCCATTATAACATGAGTTCAATCCCCTGCTAGAGGGGTGACCCACATGGCCACGGTGTGGCAGACCTCTCCTGATCTACACACTACTCCCCTCAGCAGAGTATTCCTGCTATCTGCCTATCAGTCTATCTGCCTATTCTGCTCCCTGCTGTCTCTGGTGAATCCTTTCACCTCCTGCACTTCTGGTGTGTACCCTACTTCTGTATGTATAAATAAATAATAAAAGACAGACTGAACCTAGGATAAGAGATAAGTAAATTTAACAAGGGCAAACAAGACTGTCCTTTCCTCCTCTTCCACTTAAAAGATAGTCCAGCATTTCAAATGACCACTTCAAATGAAGGGGCACAGCAAACTCCCGAATGTAGAGCCCACTGCTGCCCCAGAGATCTATTGCTTAGAAGTGAGGTGACTCAGGCCTCCTAATCCCCAAGCCAAGTCTCTTTGGCTCAAGTAGAGGCATAAGGCAGAGCTCTGAGGGGCCCTAGGAATTGTTGAGAGAGATACCAGATGCAGCTCCCAGAGGAAAAAAAACTGAAGGCGACTCAGGAAGCAGACACCAGGCTTAGGGCTGGTCATCAGAACTGTTCTCCCCAGTAAGGACAAACACAAGCCATGGACCCCGAGCACAGACTCAGAAGACAGTTTCCAGATCCACACATTAGTGGGAAAAGAGCTTAAAGACTGCGAACCCCGGGGCTCTTGGATTCCAGCCTGGCCTCCATCTAGCCTGCCATAGATAATTCTTACTGACAATTAGTGGAGTGATGACGGGCCAGGCCTGATACAAGCGCTCCCAGGTAAGGCTGAGTGAAGCCTGCAAGCCATCTCAGCCAGCTGATCATGAAAAACGGCTGCCAGCAGCGACAGGCACTCCGTCAGCTTCTCCTCTTTCTGGTGGAAGAAGTTAGACTAGCACCCAGATAGATGTTGCTGGGTGGATGGGTTATTCGGGAAACTGTGTAGTCCCAATCACCCCCAGGTCTGTCAAGCCCCAGATTCACACTTCAGCCAGGCAAGGAGCCCCTAGCTGGTCATCGGGAAACCCTAACCTTCTGTCTCTTTCCCAGACCTAAGCCACGTGCCCTCTGTTGTCAATGCCAGTAACAACCCAATTCTTCCTTATGTTTTCAAGCATGTGCTTCCCCAGTGTATCAGATTATTTTTCGCTGGTTACATTTTAAGCCAGATGGCTCCTCATCAAATGTTCTTTAATTGTGCCCATAAACTGTATAGACAGGAGATTACCATCCAGATAGTTTCATGTAAGTTTGACCCCCTCTCTGCTATAATTTATTTGTAGACTCTTATTATCATTGTTCGGTCAATAAGGTATTTATTATGCACGTACTTGATTCCTAACATGACCATGAATTCAAATATAAATAAAATATGTGTTTCTTGAGCAGGGGTTCCTGGTGTAGGGAGGCAGACAATTTGTAAACAGGTATTAATAATGCAGACACAACAGGGGGAGTTGTGGGGTTTTTTCCAAAGCATAGAGTTCGAAACAGTGCAAATATCACCCAGACAACTGAGTAAAGGGGTAAGTCACATGAGATGCAGCACTTTGGGGCAGAGCTGGAAAGATAAACGCTGACTTCACCACTTCTGAGACCATGTTTTTCACATTTTAACATCTCTGAATCAGCCTGTGTCATCCTGCCAATGTTGGCCAGGTAGGTGGCTAATCGCATCAGAGCTGTCACTGCCTAGCCTGATCAGGCTCAAGCAGGAACATCTCAGCATCAAAACGTGCAGAATGGATTCAGGAACCCGTGGAGAAAATTCCAGAAACCACACAGGGGCACTCTCAGGAGCTGCTGTATCCCCAAGGCCGCTGGTGGCAGGGGGGTGACAGAGAGTGGAAACCAGAGTTAAAACGTGGTCAAAGTGAAGCGTTCTGCAGGTGGTCACGGGGACCGTCACATATCCTGTGGGTAAACTGAGAACACCGAATTGCACACTTGAAAAGGGCTGACATTTTTGGTGCATGAATTAAAGCTCAACATTTTTTAAGTGGGGAAAAGTTGGGGAAGACTAGTGACATGTAGTGCCTTAGGATGGTGGTGATGGTCACACCACACCATGGATGTGCTTAGTGTCGGTAAGCTGTGCACCTAAAATGGTTAAGCTGGTAAATTGCATGTTATAGATATTTTACCACAATTTTTAAAAATGTGAGGGAAAAATCCTACTACCAGTCTCTTCTTCATCCATGCATAAGACCTCCTGCTGACTCAACCTTAATCTCCAGAGTTCTGTGCACAGTGTTCATGTGAGAGTCTCTACGTGTTACATAGAGTAAAAACTTAAGACTTAAGAGAAAAAACATGAAGTTGCAAAATTAATAAAATATAAGCTCATCATAATTAACTTTCCACGATAGCGGGAGAGGTAGAGGTAGATGTCAACTCTGTTGTAGCAAGCCACTAAAAACTCTGGGTTGGGGGCCCTCCCTGGTGGCATAGTGAGTTAAAGGAAGTACTATGAAGCTATCACAGTCACTGCAGCAGGAGTTCGATCCCTGGCCAGGGAGGTGACCCACATGGCATGGCAGACCTCTCCTGACCTGCCCACTGCTCCCCTCAGCAGTGTATTTTGTCAGTCAGCCTGTTCTTCTCCCTACTCTGTCTCTGGTGAATCCTCTCACCCACCACACCTCTGGCCTGTACCCCAGTTCTTGTATGCATAAATAAATAAATCTTTAAAAAAAATAAAATTCTGGGTTGACAACAGATGTGTGAACATTAAGTCCCTACCTGATAGAGGACCCCCAGCTGGTACCCAAAGCATGGCATGGGGTTCTTGGAAGGCAACTTGTAGCCCACCCCAAATCACCACAGCAGGGGCCACACCCAGAGCCTAAAAGCCTGAAGGACAAACCAACAAAAAGTGACAGTGAAGAACCAGCTAGCCAAGGACTGGTCCCAGGTCTTCCTTCCAGAGGCGAAGGACCCACGCCCCACTGTTCCCTCCTCCAAGCTCCTCTAGACTGTCCTTACAGCTG